GGGGGGGGGGGGCTCTCTCGAGGCTTGGCATGGTGCTCGCGACATTGACGCTGGGCGTATCTGAAGCGGGTGATAATTGGGCAGAAAATTGATGCTGAGCGTTGGGGGAGTAAGGCCACCCCAATGTTCAGAATCAGCTTTGTTGCCTCAAGAGCGCCCGTTTCAGATCATCATCACCAGCGCGCGTTGCCGGAATCAAGAACCAGCTCGCGTCCACATCATGATCAGCAGCAAGAGCGTATGCCAAACGAAGAGCTTCCAGAGGGCGCGCCTCTTTTCGCTCTCGATGGCCCCGGCCATCCTCCCACAGTGCCAGTCAAAGCGCCGGCAGAAGTTCCCCGCGATGCCACCCCCGGCGCCGGCCCTGCCGTTCATGTTTTCCACGCTGTCGCGACAAAAAGTGGATTGTAGCCCTAGCCCTCCCCGGGACCACTGGCCGGTTAGACGGCCCACCTCCAGCGCGGTGATGACGCACGAAGCCTCAGCCGCCGGCATGACCCGGCGGAAGAAACCAGAGCTCGGGAGACGCTCGCTCCAGCGACGACCCCACGCGTTGCGAGGCACATCGCAGGTCATCTCGGCGGTTAGAACCACAAGCAGCATGAGGGCAAGCTGCTGGAGGGGGAGCGCTAGCATCGTCGACAATGGAGGCGGTGGGAGATCGCCACTCGAACACGAGATTTCCAATTCACCGCCGTCGCCGCCGCTTCCGTCCCGTGAGAAGAACTCGAAGGCGAGCGGGGCCAGGTAGAGGAGGGTGAGGTAGAGCGGCGTGAGGAGCATCGACTCGGCCACGTTCGGGTAGCTCCGGTACGAGAACTGAGGATGAAGGTCTATCAGCTGCCCGTCGCCGAAGCTCCAACGAAAGAACCGCCTGCCAGGGAAGAAGCCGGCCGTGGGTAGGATTCGACCCGTGGATCGAGTTGCCGAAACTGAGAGACGGGGCGGGGTGGCCGGGGGGTATACCTTACAGTCTTGAGGAACAACGTGCGGCAAGCAGTAAGCTCTTCCCGGGGAACCAAACAAATATCCCTCCTTTTGCAACTTTACACAACAACAGCAGCAGTCGATAGTGCCCGAGAAGCAAGGCTTGAACTGTGGCCAGAGCAACACGTGCTGTAGCTCACACACCAAGGCCCGAAGCCAAGTAAACTTCTCTTCGGAATGATCATGGTTCTCATCACACTACGCGTCAAGTGGCAGATCTTCCATGCTCTTCTCGTTTCAGTGCCATCGCTATACACACCATTCCATCGACGAACCACAGCATGTACGTTGGAGTACCATGCAACCAGTGGTTTCATGACTTAAAAAACTCGCACATCCGGGGGAGGTGAAAACAACACCCTTCAGTAGAATTTGCAGAATTTTTCTACTAAGGAAACATGTTGGATCAAGCATGCAATCGGGGAAGTTGGGTTAGGGGTAGGGTCTGCGTACCCCCCTCCTTGTTCTATTTCCTCATAAACTCAATTTCTCGCGAAGGCGGTCTACGCCCTTCCTTGCCTGTAGGTCTTGAAACGACCCCCGGGCCACCACGGGTGGATGACGACGGCCTCAGGCGCCGGCAGGAAAGTTCCCCCCGTGTCTTTGGCGTGGCTGCACGCGTTGAACCGGACAGGGGTGCGAGGGGGGAGTGTGTCGCCGGTAAATGTGCATGTGTTTCTTGTCCCGTCTGGTCTCGGCTCCGTCCACACTGCTGTTCGGTGATTGCTTGGCGCATCAGCCGGGGTCACGCAGGAGAACAAGGCACACTCTCTTTTATCTATTTCGCTCAGTCTCTCTCTCTCGCTCTCTCTCGCTCTCCATGTTTTTGTCACCTGTGTTCCTTTTGTCTAAGCTACGACCCGGAAACACTATAAGTCTCGAGACTACACGAAAGACAATCGCAAGCAAACTGCAAGGCTAGGGTGAACCGCGGTCAACATGACCGGGACGGACGTAGAAGCAAAGGGGTGCTAGCACCCTCCGCCGAACGAATTCACCTGAGGCAATAATCCACGTCCTCTCCGCCCCCGGTCTTCGGGAACTGGTCCCCGAACTGGGTGATCACGCGCCGCTTGCCCGGCCACGAAAACCGCACGAGGAGGTTGGCCGTGACGCCCCAAGCTGGGTGCGACAACTCGCCGCTGATGCCGTACATGTAGGTGACGTCGCTCAGGGCGACGGCGCGGTGGAGCGGGGTCTCGGCGGGCGGGAACTTGGTCATCCCGATGAAGCCGCAGCACGTTGTTGTTGTTGCTGTTGTTGTTGTTGAGGCGGCGTGGCTGTGGTTGTCGCTCTTCGCGCCGTCGCCGGTGGTGGCGCTGACCATTTCGCCGTCGTTGTCGCCGTTGTCGCCGCTGCCGCCGCCGCCGCCGCCGCCGCCGCCGCCGGTGCTGGCGCTGCTCTTGCCGCCACCACTGCCACCGCCGTTGCCGCCGCCGCCGCCGCCGCACCCCTCGCTCTCCACCGTGTTGACGATCAGCCGCCCATACTCGGCGAGAATGTCGCCCTTCGGCTTGACGTCGTCGTCGAGAAACAGGCCCCAGTCGGCGCTGCTTTCCTGGAGTGCGCGGTTGCGGGACGGGCCCGCCCCGATGTTCTCCTGAAGGTTAAGGTCGAGTGGTGAACGTACCACAAACCGTCGGTCGTGGGGGAAATGTTATGGAGGAACAAAGAAATCAGGGGGAAGGGAGAAGGTCCGCTGCTCCTTGCTGGATCATTCACAGTTGTTGTTGCATCTCATTTTCCATCCTCTTCACACCTTGCCCACGTTCCGCGCTCACAAGCCGAGAGTGAGTACGGGGGTTGGAACCCTAGTTACAACAACCACCGAAAATATATATATATTTATATATCCATGTCATGCTCATACAACACTCATACAGCGCTCATACACTAGTTGCTCCATTACATTAACTCATGCGTTGTACGGCACACACTCGCGCCGATACGTTGAAAACATCTGGCGGACATAGATAGGCAGCTGCACGTACAGACGACATAGTTCGCGCACCCATTCTTCGACCGCCTTCAAACGCCCATATTGAAGAAACAGAGAAGAATCTTGCTTTCGTGACGACGGTATTATCATGAACAATGAGAATCAGTTTGTTGCTGCCTTGTCTGCCAAGGGAATCTATCCAATGCTAATGCTACGCTTCCGAGCGGTGAAACAAAACGTTGCGCAGACATCGCGAGAGTTATTGAGCCTTTTCCCCCCCAAAGCGCTCCTCGTTATATTCTCCCCACTGCAATCACCATATCCACCTTCCGAAGTAGGTGGAAAGATGCATACAGGGAAGTTGCTCTGGGGCAGGGAGGGGGGTGGCATTGATCTACTAGTATGGTATTGGGAAATGTTGTGTCCGACGACGGGGTGCTGCCGCACACAAGAGAAGTCGCGTTGTTCAGATAAACTGTGTTTTGACAAGTTGTCCCGGTTTTACCCACCAGCCGGATTCACGCAAGAGGAAGGTGTGCTTACCCTACTGCTGTAGAAGTTTTTTTCCCCGAACAGCCCGCACCTTGTTCTGCCGCACTCGGACAATGTTTGCTCTCGCCGCTCGTTGAAGCTCATTGGCCATTGTCCTTATCCTACTCGGTGCGATCGCGGGGTCGTCGACGATGATGATGAACATCGTTCGCATGTACGGGGGGACCTCCAACGAACAGATCGCTGTGAGGATGGAGAGGTCGTCCAGGCTTGTGTTCCAGGGTTCAGCGCAATGGCAGCAGCAGCAGCAGCAGCAGCAGCAGCAGCAAAAGATGAAGAACAAGCAAGAAGATTCACAGTACACACACACCAACGAAAATTCAAATCCAGGGGTTGTTTGTTCGACGAAAAAACACGATTGTTCGTTCGTCACGAGTATTTTAAGGGCAGCTGCCACCAGGCAGCGTCGTACGCCTAGAAAGGTGCATTGGCAGCGATGAAGCGGGCCCAGAAGCAGCAACAATAGGCGTTGTCGCTGGAGGACTACGACCATTGATGTTGAACAGGTAGTTGAATAGAATGACAGCTTGCTGGAGATGCGGATAACTATTGGAGAATGAAAAAATTTCGCGAAACAGAAACGATACTGATTGTACTTGTCCGAACTCAATGTCCCGTGGAACATGCCCTAAAACTTTGAAACAACAAGCTGCACAGCGTGAACCACTCCCAGAGATGACCCCTACCGATCATCATCATCGTACGCACCGGACCGTCGGCACCAGAATGTCGAGCACAACGAACCGATTGAAACGGCGCCGCAGGCGTCGCCCGCCGTCCTCTTGGCAGATTTTAACCTCCGGGGAGAGCTGGAGCAGGGGCGGGCGAGACTCGAGCCACGCGCGGGCCTGCTGTACCCCTTGTCCGAGCATTTCGGACTTCCAGTCGACGGCCACCTTCCGATAGCGTTGCTGCGTCGGGAGGGAGGAGGAAGAGGTGCTGCTGCTTCGGCCGGCGGCGTCTCCCTCGCACCCGCCGAGCGTGTTCTTGAGCGTTGCCGTCCGCGACAGTCGGGCGGCCCCGAAGCGGTTGTAGACCTGAAATGGCGCGACGGTTGTGCTTTCGTCAATCAAGCTTGATTTCTTCAGCGACCAAGCGACAGCTAGATAGCAGTTGGTCGACACGCCGCGTTAACCTCGTCGCTCCAGGACCGTGCGGGTTCCTCAACAATTCCTATCGCTCTTTGGAGGTTCGAGTAGATAGACCCCAACGGCACCCTTTCGTTCCACCGGGCCCCTCCTACAAAGCGACGGTGTCACGTGACCACACAAAATATGGACGATCTTTCCTAAGACTCTTCAGGCTTCGTTCATTCACCTGCAGTCTCCATTATTCGACATCATAGCGGAGTGAAGGACTCTGACCCGAGCATCATGTCGCAACGTTAGTCCCATGCACCAGTCAGTCACACGCATGCATTCTCTGCAGCCCTATGGCATTTCCACCATGAATCATTTGGATATTTTCAAGTACCCTCTCCCACGTTACATGCATGCATGCATGCTACCTCGAATATCCAAGGGTCCGCATCTTGGTTGACGAACTTCACAGGAAATATCTCGGGGAAAATCTCGCCGTGCGTTCGGTGCAGCACCGGGAAGCCAGGAAACCCGGGTGACAGCTTGTCCGTGAAGCACACCACGCCGAATCCGTGGGGCAAGACGTCGACAAAGGGGCGCCCGAGGCCCTCCGTTGCCACCGACGTTTGGGAGGACAGCTCGCGCTGCAGCAACTTGAACTCGTCTTGGATCTGACCCATCCACCCGGGAGAGAGAAGGCGCACGTCGTCTCCTAACAGCACGGTGTATTCGGCTCCCTGCCGAAAGGCCTCCTGGGCGAGCTTGCGCCAGACGCGGCAAACCTGGCCTTCGTGTACTCTGGGTGCTGCAGGCGACAGCAAGCGCATTTAGACGGCCGAAACGGATCATCTCACGTAAGTAGGCTATATGCATGCCTGTCACATATACATGCGCGCAGGAGCAAGCATACACCACAACAACAAGTAGCATTTGAATACTTTCGTGAAAGGGGACAATCAATGTAGGACAACATTCTCACGCGTCCCTGATGTGAAACGGCTCACCTGCCGACGGCGACAAAAGTTGTTCTTCATCGCTGCTGGCTTCGGTAGGGGCATCGGGCACATCTCCAGAGGGTTGCTTGAGCGCAGGGGTCGAAGTCTTCACGCGAATAATCTCAAAGTCGAGCTCACCGCGAAACGCTCGAGTGAGAGCGGCGTTCCCTTCCTCGCTGTCAAGCACGGCGTCCCCTTCGTCGATCCCGACCAAGACCTTGATTCCGCCGCCTGAGCGTTCTGCCTCCGCAGTCGTCCTGAGGACGCCCTGGGGGCAAGAGGAGGGGTGCGGGCGGGCGGGCGGG